TTATAATTAATACATTACATTATAATGAAATTATATATAATGAAATAAAATTTGTAGTGACACACAGCAGAATATTTTTTTCAATTTCGTCATCTTTTGTCATACTTCGTCCTATCTTACCATATTGTTTTATTAGTGTTAAAAAGACTAATCAATTTAAAGCGCGTACCTCAAACTTCGTGATCGCGGAAGTGTGGAAACGGGATGTTAATGGAATGTTCCTTGTTTACATGCGATATCACGTTACTTAGTGTGGTGTTGGCGCATACACCGTTCAGGAATGTCACTTGAGTCACAAGAGTTGCAGTTTTACTGTCAATGAAAGTAAACTGCTAATGGGAAGTGCAATCGCCCAGAGTGCCCAGAACATTGCCTATCAACACATCAAAGATGGGTCTGGTCATTATTCCAGTATAGGAAGGAGTACGGACCTCTGTTCAGCTTCGGGGACTCGTTTCCATGTACCACCAGCTCGTATGCAAGTATGATTTCTTCCAGTGAACTATGGGAGATGCAGCAAATAGTTTCGAAGAAGAATGGCAGAACACCCAGTGTCTCTAAACACCAACACTTTATTGACCATGCCCTCAGCAGTACAGAATTCTAGTTCTGCTACCTGCTTATAAAGAACACGTCCCGTAATTTCAAGAGCTGACAAATGTGTGCAGGATGACAATGGTGTGTGTTGGCGGTATGATAATGGGAGGTGTCAGGGAATCTAGTGAGAAGGGTAAATTTCGCACACAAATCTCACTAGTGGCTGTCAATATTTTTCCCATCTTGCCTCAATTTGGCATGACAATCTTTCCTACTATTTAATAGTATTCATTGATTGAGGATTTAATGAAATTGAACAATGAATTTCCAGGAACAGGCATAAACATCCATTTCACACTATTTTTTGAACAAAAATGTCATGTTTTGACTGAGGACCCCTTTAATAGATGTTGACATTTTCTTTATCAACATATGGAATTATTGTACATGACCTAGATGTAAAGTTTGAATGCAATTTGTCAATGCATTGTCAATAATAGGCATATAATTTTGTTCAAAATTCACTTCTTGAGCAACTGTAAATATAAATAGAAAACAAACAAGGCTGTGATGAATCTTGAACCTCCTATAGTTGGTACCAAATGGTGCCATCAAGTTCACATTACTTTCACCGAGTGTTTAATTGGGATTCATAGAACATGATACTTGATCAACCATCAACAAGCACACTGGTGCCATCAAGTTCACATTACTTTCAGTGGTCATGTACAATTTTTTACCATCAAGTTCACATTACTTTCACTGATTGGTTAATTAGGATTCATGGAACACTGCTTGAAAAATAATCAACATGCACATTGTTGAGCCTAAAAAACAATATTATTCCTTTTTTCATAAAAATGGTCGCCATTTCACTGAAATCCAAAATTAAAAACATTTAACCCATCATATCACAGTCCCAGTTAGTTTTCAAATTGAAGATATAAAGCTTTGTTTATAGTAATATAGTTGGAACACAAACATGTCAGAAGTATGGATTCAGAAGATGATGCTCGATTATGATGATTTTTTACATTAAAATGATTTACATCCTGTATCTGATCGTCAAATGAGTCCTTTTCCATATTGAGAAATATTGCTCTGGAACAGCATTATTTAAAACAAAATGGCCACCAGTTGGCCATTTTGAATACATCTATATATCTATAACTTATAACTAACAATGATGTGCATCAGTTACCCACTATGTGTGATGTCAATGCCAAGTTTGAACGAAATCGGTCAAGGCATGTCCAAGAAATGGTTGAATTTTGTTAGTTTTCGATGAAAATGACTATTTTGGCTAAATTTTAATGAAATCGAGAAATAACTGAAAACAACTTTTAACCCATTATATCTTACCTTTGTACAAATATGTACAATCATCTCTGTAAAATGAGCAGGACACACTAAAAAACTACCTGCATCAGTAACCCACCATGACTGGTGTCAATGCCAAGTTTGAATGAAATTGGTCAAGGCATGTCAAAGAAACAATTAATGAAATGTCCAAATGTTGATATGGGACAAAAATGGCCAATCAAAGGTCAACCAAATAAAAAATAAATAGATGTGCACATGTCTCCCATTATGGCTTGTCTTTGTACCAGCTTTGGCTTTCGCCAGTTTTGCTGAGCGAAAAGAAATTTTCACCAGATCTTTGTCATACACCCAGGAGTGGACTGATATTGACTTGCACTGGCTTTGAGGTGAAAACATGAAACTTCCCCAATTTGTAGTTCTGGATAGAGAAACACACGAGTGACATTTAAATCCTGTGATTTGACAATTCTACGCAGATGAGCTCTACCTATAGGCAAATTTTCCTACATCATCCAAATGCATGCATAATTAAGAGGAAGGCTGCGCGTTCAGCCTATAGCAGTTCTTCAGACCTTACAGCATTTTCCTTGAAATGACTTTGACATTTTCGCAGGTGCAATACATTAAGTCATTGTATACTAGACAATCAATCATACACAATACATATATAACAAAAAATAACATTCAATGTTTTAATTTAACAGACATCAGTCATTACAAAATTTCAAACTAATGTGATCGAACGTTAGAAAACTGCATAGTTATGTAATTTGTACCCATAGTAACCTTTCTTGTAATCAATCACTTGAATCATGTATTTATAAGAGTAATAATAATAATTAATATATATTTATTTATTTATAGTTATCTGTATATCGTAAATTATGTTAAGTGTATTATATACAGAAACATAAAAAAATCGTCATCTTGGAATTCAGAGCGATGTATTTTTTTCCCTCAATTTTAGTTCTCGAAAATTACTTTTGTTAAAGAAAAAAAAATGTTCCTAGGAACTGATTTTTTTTTCAAATAGACAAAGCAAAAGGCAAGAAAATATTGGAAGGCATTCATCTATTATGCTATTCAACCTGGCGAACTGCAACTGCAAACTTTTTTTTTTTACATTTCTGCCAACAGTGTGCACATACATGACAGAAGATGCTGTCATGTATGTGAACACTTGCTCTGTGATCTACTGTAACCATGTTGCCTATAAGTTGTTTTATTACCAGGAACAAATAATCACAACGCCATTATTTTATCTTGGATTGGAACGATTAGTTCTTGTTAATCACTGCTAATATGCAGACACCAAAGCTGCTTCTGTAAGTCTAATCAAAAAAGCTTTCTAAATAAAAGAAATGTTGAATTTTGAAAGAAAAGAAATAATATACATGTAAAGTAGTAACATTACATCTAAAATTAAATTCAGAAATCAAGTTTCTTTAAAAATAACAACATAGGATTGTGTAAAATTAACATCTATAAATTACATTGCACAGTTATTAAAAAAATAATCTGAATTTTGCAGATGGCAAGGCGGTTATGTGAACCATCGGCATAACAAGAACATATTTAACATCACAACAATTTATAACACTGTCGTACAATTTAGTAGCATTTTACAAATTACCTAATGGCGAGTCAGGCTCGCGAGACCAAATCAATACATGCATTCAACTCGTATTTGGTGGAAGTGTAAAGCTGCTATAAATATGTATGCACAGTACAAATCATGTATTGTTTTAGTGATCACATAGTGATTTTAGAATTATAAACAAATCAGATTAGATTAGTCTTCACTGAATATGAGTTTTGTAATGATTCAGAGGGAAGTTTCATTCTTTAACAAAGTAGATTGGTAGATAATATTCAACAATTTCTACATGAAACAATTTTCCATTTTAACAAAGCATCGGAATTGGTTATACAAAATATATATCAAGGTTATTATCTTCTGACAATTATATGTACAAACATGAAATGTTACTTAGCCTGCTTGACTCAAAAAATGTCTTCACTCATATAAGCAGTGTGTGGATTTACGGTAAATTATTCTATAATATACATGTAAATTTTTACATCAATTGCATCATACATTAAAATAATCACTTTAAATATTGCTGCTGGCTGGTAATATAAAAGCACAAATATGAAAAAAAAAAAACTCAAATGAAAGATAAGGAAATAACTATTGATAAAATAAATAGAAAAGCATGTCAAAGACAGCACTGCTGCCATACCCATGTCTGGTACAAGCAGATCTGAAATGTGTATAGACGACATAAATAGGAAATTATTGACCATATGATTCGGTTGAAAAATGCTAGCTATGACTAGTCATTGGTTCCAGTACAAATTCAAAGATCTCCAGTATAAATTGTGTCTTGATGTTCATTGACCAAAATGTTTCACATTTAGTCAAAAGTACTGCACCTCCCTTTAATGGAAGCACAACATTAAACTACTGTAGAATAAATTATTTTCGCTTGGTAATTATTTTCCATACAAAACACCCAAAAAGTCTTTTCAGTGAAAATTATTTCCAGCTAAAAAAATATTTTACAGTAACATAGCATATGGCCTTGGTTAAATGTTTATTAAGTCATCATTGCATGTATGTGATTCTAATGAAAAAAAAGCTTTCATGCATAAAACTCCATTTTGTGAACAAATGTGAAAAAATATTATCAACAATTGTATTTTTCATCTGTGCAAAAAACAAGAAGAACATTGATCACATCCTGTTTCATGTTCTTTGGTGTCAGTTCAAGGTTCACATCAAATGAATATAATTCAGATCAGGACTATGATTTTCAGATAGTGGATTTTGTCCTCAATAATGTTGATGCCTTAAGTTTAAAAAGTATTTCTAGCAATCATGTCAGTTTCCTGAAATTATCAGTAAATATATTATGGAATGGTAAGCTTAGTGCTAAACTGAAATTTATAAACAGGCATTGCATTATGCCATCAGTTTGAATAATTAGCTATTTAAAGCCACCATAAAAGAATACTGCCCTGGAATTAATTAGAAGTATAGGTTATAGAATGAACCTTTAAAAGGTTATGCAACAAGCAAGTCAAGTAATATCAAAACCATGTATGCAGTGCTTGTCATTGCATCGCTACAAGGATGTAACTACAGATATGTGTAGACCTGGCCATTTTTGTTTATCATATTAATAAAGTGCACTCAAAGTTAGTGAGCAAGTGGTAGGTGCAGACATTTCAAGAAATGTCTGTAAATGCAATCAGTGGAGTAACACTGGATAGTGTTTACAAAATTATTAATGAAGGTCGATTGGGAATCAAAGACCTGTAGCACCACTGTTGAATTACACAACTGTATCTATCAATGTGAACACATTACTTTTCAATATACTAGTTGGTTAATGTATAAGATAAACCCAGACATGTTCAAGTCACTGTCTGAGAACTGTTTCCTAACTTTCCTTGAACAATACATAATGGCATCACAGCCAATATGTATTGCATGGAAGGTACACTAGTGTCACAGTTGTGCGAACAGATTTTATGAAACCACCATTGCATATGCTGGATTCAGGTAATGTGTTCTTCAAGAGACTTCATTAAAGTTATCTAAACAAGGAATGGCTTCAACACACAGAGGTATACAAATCTTTTAGATGCCTAACCAGAATGCCTAACGATGTTAGTAATTTTTAAAATGTTTACCGGTACTTCACCATTTCCAAAACTCAGATTTGGCCCTGAGTTTAGGATCCATTCAACTTCAAAGTTTCATTAAAATGGACTGCGTCAGTTACTCTGTAATATTTTTATATTTCCAGCATTCAGTCATGCTTCTTCCTTATATCCAATCTAACATCTCTGGACAAAAAACAATGCCTCAAAATTCAATGATTTTATTCTGTTAACAAAGACAAATTGATTACCAACCAGTGTTTATCATCCACATTATATTGACTGTTAACTTGCGCTGATTGGGTTGGAAACCAAAAGACTCACTCAAAAAAGACTGCTAAGACAAGACTTTACTGTGGAGGTGGTGCTTGATGTCTTAAATCCGTGAATGGTCCAAATAATTCTCCAAAAGATGTCCAGGAAAGGGGGATACTATTTTTTGATCCGCATTGCACAGGGAGGAGAACTGCCATGATCAAGAAGACTGCAACAATGAATACAATGGTAGAAATAGTTACACGAAGAAATTTACTTCTTGGATTGTTTTCTGACGGCCACCACCACAATTTTTTCTCTGATGATTCAATCCTGTAAACAAGAAAACATATTAAAGGTTGAAGACTTTTGAAAAGTTTTTGAGGTAATCACATATAAACAATAGATCAATAGTTGTCACCAATGTTTGTCATTAAGTCCAAAAAGTCGTTGGGCTACAGGGTCTGATAGTTTCTGTTTATCTACATTGAATATAATAAATTTAGCTAACAAATTATACAACACTGACAAGTAGTAGCTGATTTGATTTATGATTTGTTACCAACAAAAATTTAAAAAAAGAAATGCATATTACATTATACGGATTATTTTTTTGGGTTATCATGTGAACAATTTTTTTGATTGACCAATTTTTTTTTCAACATTTCGTGACGTCTGTTTTGGAACCAAATTAATTGAGAGATAAGCATATAAAATGCAAATTTTTTAGGTATTTTTTGGTTAATTATGGCCGCCAGTCAGCCATTTTTATCTGCACAAAAAAATATCTGGAGCATATGTATACTATCATGTATCAACTAAGAACCAAGTTTGGAGGAAATCAGTCCATGAACTTTTGAGATACTGGAATAAACGTAACCCAATCCATAAGCCCTGGACTGTGTTCAATAAAGAGTTAATAATAACATCCACAGACTTTGTGTGAACATGCATTCTACACAACCTCCGATACACACATAAGGATTTCCACTTACTCTTCATCTTCCAAGTCAAGTTCAGCATTGTCCATCAACTCTTCTAAGTTGTCACAAAATACTCTCTGTTGTTCTCGAAGATCTGTAATCTCTTTGGACACTTGGCACCTAACACCTTGTTCAAATCTAAAACACAAAACAAACATGCAAATTATGCTTTGTCACCAGATTGCTAATCATTTTGGAAGCCTACAAAACTCAAAACTTCTGGTGTTACTGAAAAATCTGTCCTAATCCAATCACAATGCACTATATGCTTATATGCGTCATCAACAGTACATTAAAATAAAGTATGACTGTTCTAAATCTGCATTGGTTCACAACTATGTTATAAGCTTTTCATAGGCTTTAAATGTCTAAATTAGGCTGAAATGACAACATTATTATGGCAAATTAGCTACTTAAAAAGCAGACAGGTCTGCTGCTTTCCATATTTGGTCAAAATCTGCTCATAAATCTTGCTTACACAGGAATACCAAACTCATTACCTCCCTTGTGTGCTTTGCATACCCAGAAGCTAACTACCTCGGTATTTGTTTTTATCTCTGAATAATAGGTTTCTCTTATTGTGATTTTAGCCCTCTGATGTCAGTTTCTTCATTTCTGTTTTGATGCAAATGATGCTATTATGAAAATTATGGTCACTGATGGTCTAATGACAGCTTTCTAATGACCTGCTACTTATTTTTAAAAGCCAACTTTTGTGTGGCTTACACTTTAATATTTCCGGCAGGATGGCCAAGATGTGGTTTTGGGTACTGATGGTGCTACCACGGTTACTAAAAAAGACGGTTAGGAAACGCCATTGTTAAAAGGTGTGAATCTGCCTAATCCCTCAAGGATGTGTGTCGCGCTGTGTATGCCCTCTATTGCTTGAGATTTCAAGGTCCACCATTATGTTTCATTTTTGTGTCGATCACTTGATGTTCCGCGAATTTGAAATTTTAAGCTCGTTTTCGATAGAATATCCACGTTTAGTGAACAAAGCTCTACGAATAACCGCACGTACATTTTGGATGAGTACTCTTTGTGACTGTGAAAACATTCAGAATCTAGAATCGTCATTTATCGTTTTCACTGTTGTCATGAGAGTAAGCTTGGGTCCCGGTAGTAAAGTGCCAAAAAATTCTAATACCTAAGTCACTATTTTAAAATACATTATATTATTAAAAATACTACCAAATGAATTTTTAGTATACTACTGTGCGTACTCATGAAGGTTGTGTGCGATTTGGGGGCTTATTAGAGTCATTTTTGTCGTTTTGCTTTCGCGTCACTGTATCAGCCATTTTGTTCAAAGTCGTAACACTTTTTTGTAGACGCCGTAGAAATTGTTGAAAATGTATTCAACATTTTCCACCAGTTTCATAAAATGTCTGTTTAATTGTTCTTATCTGTCCTTGTTTCAGTTCTTTTGGAAAATTTTTCATGTTGCAATATTCAGCGTGCCTTTAAATGTGGTTTTAGTCAACGCTACAATTTTTGAACACATTGAACTGTCGGTACAACTTTCTAGCAGTCTCTTCGCCAAATCATTTTTTCGAACCCTTTTTAACTGTTCTTAATTTCATTGGAACTGCCTGTTGTTGCATATTTGGTCTGCTTACATGCATTTTGTAGAGCATGGACGGGTCATTTCAGTTATTCTATCGCATATTTCCAACAAAATGTACGTGGTATCATGGCTCCTCATTAAAACTTTCGCCTGGCTGAAATATAAACACTTGTATGGTTTCTTTGACGTCTTTTTTTCTGATCATGTTTTGTTGGTTTTTTTATTTCAGTTTTCTGCCGATCTTGTTATTTAGAAACGAAAATGCCATACACGACAGGCAAATTTGTTTTGAGTTTAAACCGAGCGACAGGTTTTGTCAGGATTCACTGTAACAACTTACACTTTAGTATTACTGAAAGTATCGACAGAGGCACAATAAAATGGCGTGCAGTTGTTGATTGCAATGAACTCTGGGGGAAATGACGTCATATTTGCGTGATTTCCTGTCTACATATTATGTTAATGATTTATCACAGATTAGTACGTCTTTTGTTTCAAATGTTTACCCGCGACACGCATCCAATGAAAAGAACATGATTCGTTTCCTAACCGTCTTTTTTAGTAACCGTGTCTCGTGTAAGGACTATGCCAGAAACAATACACCTCAACATTACACGCTATTAATATGCACATAACGTAAAAATATAACATATAATAACAGACATATGAAGATAACCAAATGAAATGTGTCAGCTTACAATGTCATTCGCTTCCCAGTGAACCGGAATTTCAAAATCAGCTTATTGAATGAAAATGAAATTATTCAATTTAATACATTTATTTTCAACTTTTGCAGCGACAGACAACAATTCTCAGCGGACGATATTTGGGCTTATTTAATGCGATAGAGGTCAATTTAAAATAGATTTGCTTTTATAAATCTGGGTCATATAATATATCCTCTAACAAGCTGTTGCCCTACACACAAATACAGATTTGAATGGATAACACAAAATTAAAACTATCTAAAAACATATCTCTAATGTGGTATGTTTAATCTCGATTTTTGAGCCGTTACTAGTTTAGTTATTAGCTGCAGTATATTATAATATACCGACAAAATTCGTCCTTGCTTTCACTCACCGTGTTAAATTCTAAAAATAATGTTTCAAATAATATATTATGTGAATAACTATGTG